AAATGCCCTCTGAAATTTAAACACTTATATAAAATTCTTCCGACGCTCAAAGACTTGCATTGAATATTGTCCACACGTCAAACTCATAATTGAAACAATCTAGAATCCTTAAAATTTTATGCCGAATACTCACACGAGCTTTATGATGCAAGTCGGAATACCCTTCAGTATATGAACTTGTTGTATAGGAAACCTTCTACAAATTAGATTCCTCTATCTCAAAACTCTGACCCTTAAAGGTTTTGGCTATATATCTCTGATCTTTATGAGTCTTATTTGACTATAGGCCTTCCATTAAAATTGCACATCATTTCCACAGCAATCCTTAATAAAGAATACCACCTAGAGACTTATGGCGCTCGCTGGTGTACACTCCGATACTTAAATGAAAATTGACTCTCTATTTTATGTATAATGGACTCTTCCGTCTTGTAAAAATTATAGTTAAACGAGAAAGTCCATCATACATAAAATAAGGAGTTACTTTTCAATCATCCTGTAGAATACAGACTGGACATTAAATTTCTCGGTCCGAAAACGCTGACCTTTAAACTTGTCGTTCGAGTTACTCCGACTTCGAGGAGGTCGCTATAAATTCCATGTATTTCACCTACCAATCTTTAACATTGGATAACCTCCGATTCGTAGGGTGCATGGCAGAATACCCTCCGATACTTAAATTTCTCTGTCGAAAATACTCTTTACGACGCTAAAACCTCTGACGTTTCATGTTTTTGTTCAAGTATCTCCGATCTTTCTACTTCAAGGTTGACAATCGTCCTTACCTTACAATTCCACGTCATTTACCAATCGATCCGTAACAATGTATAGCGCGACAACTTTTATGGTGCTTGCAGGTGTACAGTTCGATAGTTAAATTTCCATATAGAATACATATTGGACATTAAATTTTTTGGTCGGAAAGGGCCGACCTTTAAACTTCTGTTACGTATCTCCGATCTAAAGTTCGATGCAGACTATCATCCATCGATTTAAATTCCAGGCCCTTGACCCATCAGTGTCTCCGATCTTTATAGTTCTAGGTTGAGTATCCCCACACCAGTAAATGTCCAGGTCTCACATTCTTGAATGAAACTGTGTGAAGTCAGAATTGTTTTCAGTGGACCTGGCTGATTTACAGAATTTCGTTTGGAAATAACAGTTTTATTTCGACATTTTCAGAAAATAATCAAACAAAATGAATGATGTCCATGATAAATTAATTTCCTTTTTAGCTTCACGATTTGATGTGAGTGAAACTGAATGTTTCAACAACCCAGTGTATTTTTTCCAAATATTTTCAATCGTGCACGGATATTTATACTTTTGAAACTTTTTGAACTTTTTCAAATAAGCCTGAATTATTCGTACGAACGTAATATATATATGTAAATAATATAACTGAGGGCTTTGATTGGTCAATTTCATCTTCGGGGTATCGATCTTGGCCAATGGATGTTGAGTGTGGTAACGTAATTTACATAGATTGTTGTCACTATCTTTCCGAGCCCAAAGATTTTCTGACAAATCATCGGCAGACAGTTTTATCAGTAGGGCTTAGGGTTATACAGTTGGTTGCCAAAACATTGTGGCGAATCTCTACGCAGGCACCTTATCTCTCCTTTTTTTCTATCTAAAATTGTTATTGGCTTTTCCTCATTTTTTCTTCCTTTCTTTAAATTGTTTTAATTTTGTAAAACTTCCATTTTTTCTTAAATCTTTAATCGTTTTTCGTGTTTTCATCCTTTTTTTTCTACTTCTACCGTATTCCTCCATTCCTCGTCTTTCTTTTCTTTCTGTCTTTTACTAGTTTTGGTGAAATGTTTCCTGTTTCTTGAGATATTTTTCTTTGCTTCATTCTTCTTGCACTACAATATTTTCTTCCTCTCTTTTATCCAACCCTTTCCTAATAATATTTTTTATTTCTCTCTTTTATTTCTTTCATTTCTTTCATTTTAAGCCAATACTTTGCCATCTTTTATTCCAGAACTTACTTATTTTCTTTCTTTCTTTCTTTCTTTCTTTCTTTCTTTCTTTTATGCAACCCTTTCCTAATATTCTTTCTTTCGTACCTTCATTCTTTCTTTCCTTTTCGCTTTTATCGAAATCTTTCCACGTATTAATTTTTTCTTTCTTTCTTTCGTTTGTTCTTGCTTTCTTTTATTTCAGTTTTTTTTTATTGTTTTGTCTCATTTATTCCAAATCTATCTATCTATCTATCTATCTTTATCTGTTCATATCTCTGGAACTCAATATATGCGCGTTGGCTGTGTCATCCTGTTCATCTCTCTCTATATATTTCTCTATCTCTCTATTTTATGTTTATCTATCTATCTATCTATCTATCTATCTATTAATAAATATACATATTACCTATCAAATATAGCACAACTCGGAGTTTCATACACAACACAAACTTCAAGTGCTGATATATCATTTTTCATCTCTCTCTCTCTCTCTCTCTCTCTATATATATATATATATATATATATATATATAT